TTGCCAGAAGCACGGTGCCGTCCGGCTTGTGGAGCTCCATGCTGCCCCGCACTGGCGGGAAGGGATTGCCTGTGGCTGCGCAGTTGATCCGGGGCGTTGTCTCTAAGTTGAACTCCAGTTCTGAGGCCATACTGAGGATCTGGGGGATCCGGTCTGAGGAAAGAGAGGACAGTCACCCTGGAACTCCCACAGGGGCAGACACAAGGCCACCAGAGTCTCTCAGCCCACGCTCTGCATCTCATCAGAGGCACCGCCACCTATGTGGTCACGTGAGCCCAGAAGTCAGTGAGAGCCTGCATGACCGCCCCAGCAGTGGTGCCCGACCCGGCCAGCGTGGTCCCCTAACCACACCCACATACTTCCTAGTGCCATCCTCTGCCTGAGTGCTAGTTCAGGCCTCATCTGTTCTCCTCCCTGTCTCTAGACTTCTCGGGAGTCTCCTGCTTCCACTCTACCCAGCAGCTGGGGGTCCTTTCTCAAACACAACTCCGCCTTGCCCCTGTCTGATTAAGTGTGAACCCTTTAGCTGGGCATTCAAAGGCCCATGCTTGACCTCTTCTGACCACCCCCCCCAGTCCCCTATCCCGTGTTCTGGTACCCGTGCCTGAGTCCTCAACCCCTGGGCCTCTGCACAGGCGCTTTCCCCAGCCCTCTCTCTCTCGTCCTTCACATCCAGTCTCAGATCTCACCTCCTCCCAGAACTTTCCCTGAGCCTCTCAGATCAGGCAGGGGCTTCACTGGGCTCCTACCTACTCCGGACAGCTGCCCAGGGCAGCATGGATGGCTGAGTGGTGAGAACCCCTGCCAGACTCGAGCTCCCTGAGGGTAGGACTGGGACCATCCACAGGAAAGGAGGATGGGCGGGACTCATAGCTCAGTGGTTAAGTGTGTGTGTGGAGAGCCAGAAACCACACGGCCAACTCTGGTTTGAGTCCAGGCCCTGGTGACTTGAAGGACACATGGAATAAATGTGCATGAGTGCCCAGGACCCTGAAGAAATGGAGAAATGGAGGAGAAGGGATTGCAGCATGGCCATGCCTCCCTTGGGAGGTGCTTTTTCCTTCCTTGCAAGTGCACACACTTTCTGGCGATAAATAATAAAAAAAAATACATCTTAAAAACAAAACCAAACCCAGGCCAGCCAGTGTGTGGTGGTGAAGGTGGCTGGATCCACGCAGACACTGTGGTTCACATCCCAGACCTGGCGGCTTGAAAAACACACCTGGTACTTGCTTGCACATGCATGCCCCAAATCCTGAGATGAGAATAGAGGAGAGATGGCTGAAGTGTGACCATTCCCTGTGTGTGTGTGTGTGTGTGTGTGTGTGTGTGCATGTCACTTTCTCTCTCTTTCTCTTGCTGGTGAGTGCATCTACCCTATCAAAAACTAAAAACAAAAACATCAAAGAGGGGGGCAGGGAGATGTGTTTGGGGAAGGCCAACCTGTCTCAAGGGGTCTCAGGGACCCTGGTGCTCACACCTGACTTCTCGCAGTGCATTCCATGCCACCCGGAGGGGCAGACACAGCCACGGAACCGGTCACATGTGCCGCCGTTCTGACACTGGCATTGGAGGCGACAGTCAGCCCCAAAATGACCAGGGGTACAGGCTGAAAACAGAAGAGGTGTGGTTAGGGGGTACAGGTCAGGGGTCAAGGGAGGCCCAGGCAGGGTATGGGTTGTATGACAAGCTGGGCGTAGAGGGGCCACAGGTCAGGGGAGCAGGGACACTATGGAGGGCTTGATGTGAACGTTAGGGTCAGACTGAAGAAGCCGGATCAGGCTTGTGGCTGGCTGTCTTGGTGGGGGACGGTAGACGTGGGCTTGCCCATACCTTCTTGGCACTGGCTTCCTCTCCAGCCAGAGCCACAAGAGCAGCCATAGGGGTCCGGGAGGCAGAAGGTTAGGCCCCGGCAGCCTGATGTGCCCGGGCACTGCTCCTGGCAGCTCTGGCCGAAACGGCCTTCTCTGCAGGCTAGAAAGCATACAGGTGTATAAGCCTCAGTTGGGCCCCAGGGTCCAGGACCTTTCTGGCCCTCTAACCCTCCAAGCTCAACCCCATGGTTCTAGTGTCTTCTCCCAGCCAGGCATCCTCTCCTGCTTGGGTCCCAGCTCCCCTCCTCCTTACCCTGCTCACAGCGGGCACCAGTGAACCCAGGGGGACACACACACTCGCCGTCATGGTCATGGCAGACACCTCCATGCAGGCAGGCTGGGCATTCCTTGGCACAGCCTGGTCCCCAGCGCCCAGCCCCACAGCCTGGAGGAAAGTGTCTTCAGCAGATGATCACTGGGGGTAGCTCTGGGGACCTGGGGATCCAGGGACCCCCAGGAAGTACCCAGAGGGCTCCCACCCTCCCATGTCCTCTGCCCACAACCTCTGCCCTCTGGCCCTGACCCCGCACGATGAGCCGGAAGAAGGCGCTGCCCAGGGGGCTGTCTTCCAGGTAGGAGGCGCTGTAGATGCCACTTGATGCCGGCTGCAGGTCGGGGAGCTGCAGCAGGAACCGCCCATCCCGGGCCTCATGCCAATCCAGCGTGTAGAAGTAGGACCCTGGAGCAGGGGGAGAATGAACAGACCAGGAGGCTCAGAAAGTGGAGGGCTGATGTCATTCCCTCTGTACAACCTCGCCTGGGGGAAGGTGGCGAGGTCTGGTGCATCCTCTTCCTCATGCTCCGCAACCACCTGTGACATCACCCAGTCCTGCCTGGGCTCCCTCCTCATCTCCTCAGCCAGCCCCCTCCTCCGAGGCCTCTTGACACCCCCTAGCCCGAGCCTTCACCGAGCCTCCAGCAGCCTCTCCAGCACTGTGCTTCTAGCCCTGTGCTTTCCTGTCTGTGCTCAGCAGTCAGTGCAACCGTCTACAAGAGCCCTCTAGAACTCCCCGCTTAAACATGCAGTTTTCTACTGTCCTCAGGGGAAAGTCCAACTCTTTAGCATGTCATTTTCCCCATCTGGCCCCTGCCCTCCAGCCCATACCTCTCCATGCCCTGCCTGACTCCTCACATTCCTGAATTCCTGGAATTGCTCATTTCTCTTCTAATTTCTCTTCTAGAAACAACAGTGGTATTTCAGACCCTCCTCCTGGAATGCCCTTCCTTCCTTGGCTTTGTTGTTTTCCCACTTCTCTTTTGGGACACAGCTCAGCTGCCATTACTTTGGGGTCTCTCCCCTGCGGCTCCCTCTGGGACCTGCAGGCCCTAATATTGGGAGTGTCTAATCCCTGTTCCACTCACTTCTTGTCTCTTTTGCTCAGGACTGAACTAGACTCTAAGCCCAGGCTTCCTTGCCTTTTCCCACATCACCCACCAATTCATGGACTGGAGCTTTAGGCAAACCCTCTTCAGGGGCCCAGAGATGCGAGAGTCAGCCAAGATGTGAGGTCGGAGGGCTGAAAGGAAAATGGCTTTCTTCCATGGGGGCTAAAGGGCCTGATAGGGTCTGAGTGAAGGGCAGGCCTGAGGCTGAGCTCCCCCCGTTCTGCTAGGCCCGAGAATGTGTCTGTCTTGGGCATCAAGGACCTGGGATGGACAGGTCTTTGGGAGAGTCTAGACCCCCCCACCCCCATGTTAGGCCCTGTTACTGTTCCCTGATTTCCCAGGAGAGGGTCAAAGTTGAAGGGGTAAAGCAGTGCTTATTTGGGGAATCAGGGAAGGAGCGGCTGACCACAGGCTCCTGGTCATCCAAGTATAGTAAGAGGGAGGCTCAGAGATCGGAATGGATGGGTCCAGGTGCATCCCATGGGACCTGGTCCAGGACAGAGGAGGGGTCCTGGAGGCTGGCCAGGAGGAAACAGGTGTATCATGGTGATGGCTAATAGAGGTGTCGGGGCATCAGAACTATGCGACCACCTGCCCAGCCAGCTCAAATATCCCGCTCACCGTTGCTCTTCCACATCACATCTGTCTGCTTCTCCTTGTGCACACGTGCAGAAAGCACAGCCGTGTCGCCTTTGTTCACCGTGTGTGTGACCTTGTCTGGGAGCAGATGGGCTGCAGGATGGAGGGTCAGAGGTCTGTGCAGCGTCCCTCCCCTCCCCCCACTTCCCTCATCCCTTCACCTCTCTAGGGCCAGACTCACCTCCAGGGCTGTTGTGCACATAGACGACACGCGTGCGTCTAGCCCCGGTGCCACCCACGCAGGAGAAGATGCCCACCAGATGCGAGGGCTTGGAGAAACCGCGCAGCGTGACCTGGTGGGAGCCGTTGCGTGCCAGATGCAGCGGCTGCCCTGGCGGGCGGGTGCGGACGATGCGGTCGTCCTTCGCCAGCAGCAGCGGCGGGCCCCAGGCGTCCGAGCCCCTGCCTGCCCCGGCCTCCCCGGACACGCAGGTCAGGAAGAAACGCTGGGGGTCGGTGAGGCGCAGGTCGGCCAGCAGCGTCAGGTCCACAGCGCCCCCTAGGACGGAACAGCAGGGACTCAGTCTGGGTGCTTGCCTGCCCTCCAGCACGGGGGGTGGAGGGGGGGCTGACCCCATCCTGACCCACCTCCCCTCCACAGAGGGTCCCAGCATTCAGCCCTCAACCTTCCCTGTCCCCTCCTCAGACCCCCCTGGCACTTCACTTTATCAGGCATTGCCATCCCCCTCTCCTTTCCTTCCACGTGCACTGGCCCTTTCCCTCAAGTCTCTTCATCCTAAAGAACAAAAACACAAACAAATCCCTCTCTGGCTCTGCATCCCCTCCCTCCTGCCAGATGGCTTCCCCTTGCAGGCAGCTTTCGGAAAGAATGATCTATGCTCCCTGTCTCCGTTTCCTCACTTTATTCCCCGCTCGTCCTGAAACTGTTCAGCAAAGGATCCCTGAGAGCCACTTCTCTCTGCCCCCACCATGCGGGAGCAGCTAGGGAAGCCATGGGGGTGGCAGCAGGGGTCTTCTGGGGTCTCCCTCTTTGTCACTACAGCAAGTTAGAAATGTTTGGTGTGCATGGGCTTTAGAGGTAAAGAGGATGAGTTCTGTAGCCGGGTGATTGTGGAGCAGAAACGAAGCTATTAATAGCTTGGGGCCAGGCCCAGGGACCGGGTGGGGAAACCCAGATGGTGCAGAACAAGGTGGGTCTTGGTCTTTGAGAGCTCACTTGCTGGTTGATGGGTCAGACATGGTTCCCAACTGCAAGGTGCTGTCCATGAGGCACAGAGAAGGGACACCTGACCCGGCACAGGGGAGACAGGGGACTGGAGGTGCTTCCCTGGTGAGGAAGCTCGAGAGAAGGGGACTGTGGAGTTGGGGGAACTGGGCTGGGGCCAGAGCTGGAGTGGGGGCCGGGGCCAGTGACTGGCCCTGCCTCAGTGTCCCTTACAGATATTGGAATGTTCACTTTGCAAGCTAAGTAACATGTGATTGAATATGTAAAAGAAATCGAAGTAAAACAAATTGAAGAAAAAAAGAAGGCTTCTGAAGCTGGAGCAGCACTCAGTGGGGCGAGGAGAGTGGGCGAGGACAGAG